GGGGGAGATTGCGAGCAGGGTTGAGGAAAGCCGCATATTTCCTCCTCAGCTGCCCAAACTCCCTTTCCCGAAGGCGGTAAGAGCGGTGGTCAGAAATGGCCACCTTAAAGAAGCACTCAACCGGAAAAGAAAGTGCAGGAGGAAGATAAGAAGTGAAAGTTTTGGCTGACCGGGATAAGAAGCAACAACTAAGGTACCCTGGAACTTAAATTTTATAAGAGATAACATCGCTCCCAAAGAAGAGTTGGAAGCAGCGAAAGAAAGTGAAAAGGGAAAGTTTTTTCTTCTTCTTCACTCTCCTTCCTCGCATTGACAACGAACTGAGCTGAATAAGAAATCGGAAAAATCCGCTTTGGCACCAATAGGTAATTAAGCTGAAAATAAAATTTGCCAAAGGGACAATAAAGACTTCTGGACACTAAAAAATCTGGAACATTTTAATTACTCAGCGTTTTATAAAAAATAAGTGAAGTGGTGGGGAAGTAACTATGGAAAGTTTATAAGTGTTTCCATAGAAGTATGATACTTATTTGAAAAGTAATGTGTAAAATGTTAAGATTTAACTGAATATTAATATTAATGATAGAATTGAATTGGTATGGATTGTTCTTTTAATTATATTATATATTTATAATTTTTTTTCTGTCAAAATACAGTGTGTAGTTTTAGAATGTACCAAGCAGAATCTGAACAGAAGTTATGTATTATATTAAGTGTTATAATTTTAGGGGAAAGATATAAAGGCGTCATACTCCAATCAGTGATTACAGGAGAAATTTTGTTTAATGAGAAAAGATAGTAGACAGTGGAAACAGGACAGACAAAGAATATAAGTACAATGATTTGAATTGAGATGAAATAAATAAAATAAAATTAAGAAAGTTAAGAGAGGGGAGAAGCTATATAGAAAATTAGAATAGTTATAAGATATGGAATGGAATATAAAAATGAGCATGGATTTGAATTTGTGTCTGTACGAAGAGATGTAACCCGGGATCATGCTGCTTTCAAAAAAGATGTTTTATGTTTTTATGTTTGTTTTTAAAAACCAATAAAATTCCCCCCCTCCAAAAAAACAGTGTCATACATTTGTCTCTAACAGTGAAGCCTTTGAAATGTTTGTTTATAGTAATGTTTGTAGCGTTGACTCTATGCCGTAGAGAATGTCACCTATTCTGGAGACAACATCTGGAGAAAACACTCCAGGCAAATAAATTCCTCAATTATTTAGAGTGATACATAGCAGCTTTAAACAAACTCTCAGTTTGCTTCTTTCAGTATATTTTTTAAAGGAAATGCAAACCCGAGATGTTATCCCTGAGAGTCCTTCAGTTCAAATATAAATGGAAACTTTTCCATTTCACTTTAAGTCAGTGTTGCGATAAAAGCATACCTCTGGTTCCCAAGACCTTCTTTCCTCTGCTTAAATGCCTATGTCGTTCTCAGTGGACGATTAAAAAAAAAGAAAGAAAATACAGTGCTTCTTTACTTCTGGACCATGTGCCTGGGACAGAATGCAGGTTTATATGAGAGAGGAAGAAAAGGCATGAGAGGGAAACAAGTTTGAGGTTGTTTTCCAAAGTTGTCTGGCATGCAATCCAGAAATGAAAAAAAAAGATCTTTTCTATATAATGTATAATAATTTGTAGAAGGCTTCTTGAATCTAGTGCCATCCCAATGTCACAATGACACAAACCTTCCCATCCTGGCTTGTTAGCTGCTATTTATTTGATCTTCAAGAGCTAAGAAGAATGTAAGTCTTTTTGTTGCCTCTTGAAACAAGTTCAGTAAAGCCAAGTTAGGTAAATATACGAGTATGATTCATGATATGATGCCAAAGAGTTACCAAAAGGATTGTGGAAAGGGAACTTCATGAGGACAGTGGTGACACCCAAGCAGGAAAAGCCCAAAGGGAACATCAGGCCAGCCATAAAACAAACTTGCATAGGAAAAGAGATTTAATAAAAGGTATTAAAGAAGCCCCTTAGACAAAAGCCCAAATAATTAAGAAAACTAAGGAAACAAGAAAAGAAAACCCTTACAAACACAAGACATGCCAAATCAGCTAAACAAACAGACAAAAGACACAAAATATATTGCAAAGGAGACAGACAGGAGATTGCCACAAGAAAACATTAGGAAACTGATAATCCAATCAAACCACCCTGCAAAGTTTGCCTTCTGCACCCCCCGGAGTTTACCCTCCGGCGGAAATGAAGACAACCCCTGACAGGATTTAAAACATTAAGAAATACAAACACAAGCACACACACAAAAAATGAGAAAAAGGTATAAAAAAATCAGGGGCTTTTCATACAAAGCAAGCTAGCTCCAGGAATGCAGACTTCTTGCTATCTCTCGCCTTCCTGAAAAATAAAAAGAACCAAGTAGTTGTCTGAATCCTTGCACTGGAGTGCTCCCAGCAGGAAAACCGAACCCTCAGAAGAAAGGCATTTTCCAGCCTTTCAACAATGCCTTAAGTTATCATTAGTTATGCTTCTGGACTGCAATTTCTTGGCCTTTTGTTCTTTTTGTTCTCGGCCTGTCTTGTTTTTTTAAGACCACACCTCTTACATTCTATCTGCAAGTTTTCAAGATGCAAGATCAGAGCAAGGTAGCTAATAGCAGGTTGACATCTTTAAGAAAATGGAATAGTATATTTTCTTGATGATATCAAACTGCTATTTTGTTTGTGGATAACAACCCCAAAAGACAAAACTGGGGACAAAGATGTTTGAATCACATATTATGGTATGTTCAACAAACCCAGATTAAGAGAAATTGTGGTTTATTTGCTATTATTAGCTATGGCCTAGTCTTATGGTCTTTTTTTTTCTTTTTTAGCTCCATTGCTGCCACATTCACAAAACAACACCTTTTGATGGCTCAAAAGGACATGATCTCATATTTATGAGAGACTTTGTACAAACATTGCTGTTCTTAAGAATTTTTTCCCCCTAAAGAACAATGGAGGAGATGCAATCTGGATTGGATTCTGATTAAATCACATGCTTTGTTGTTCCAGTGCAACAAAGTTGATAGGGAATTAACACTTAAACTTCTTTAAAACATTGAATTTAATTAGGTTAACTGTGAAGCTTTGCAATGAGTTATGCAAAATATCTTTCTATAGCAGAGCCTGATATAATTGCATAACTAAGAACTGCTGTCAGGGACTAAATACCTTTGTGTAATCCATGAATAGTCTACATAATGTTGCCATCTTTTACTGAAGTTAGTTTGTCATGTTGACATAATGAGGGCAAGTTATAAAAGCCGTACATTAAAAGGTTGTACTTACTCTGAATCTTGCCAGCTCGTGCAAAATATTAGTAAATCATAGGCTTTTCTAATAGTTATTGTGAATTCTGAACTTTCCAAAAGGGGGGACATGCAAAGCCATTCTAAAGTACTAATTTATAATTTATGCCAAGCTGAATTTTTCCCCTTTCTTCAAACCTGAATAACATATTCAGTCAAGTAGTTGCAGCATGCATAAGTGGATCCATAATATATATGAAATGCAGTATTCCACAATTTTGCACATTATGTTTCTCTTTGTGTGGTGTTTGTTTGTGTGTATCAGAGCTGGTATTCAGCGGGTTGGCATCGGTTCTGGTGACCCTGTAGCAAGAATTTGGCATGAGTTGTAGAACTGGTAGCGACTTTGGCTGGCCATGCCCCCAAACCGGTTCCCAGTCGCCCGGGCGGTCACTGCTCGCTTGCTTGCTCCGCCCATCCTCTTGCCACTTGCTTGCCCTGCCTGCACAATGCTCAGCCTGCCCTATAAAAATGTGTAGCCACATGGTCTTATCGCTTGCGCATGCTAGTCTGCTCTGCGGCTGCCTGCCTAAGATGATTTGAGACTACTCTAATCTACTCTTCCCCAACAGCCCTCCTACAGAACCTGCCTACAGGACAAGGTAAGCACTGACTTGCTAGCCCCCGGGGCCCAGCCCTGGCCCTGGGCTGAACCCCCTGCATTTCCTTCCTGCCGCCCAGCCTCGCCTCAAGCTTCCAGCAGCATCTGCCAGCCACAGCCTCAATCCGCAGCCTGGCTTAGCTCCCCAAGCCATTGCAGGTCACTTGTGGGCTGGCTGCTACCCTTGCGGCTGCCCGCCCTCGCCACTGGGCTTCCAAATGCCCCCGGCGCTTCTTCCCACCGCCCAGCCTTGCCCTGGTCTTCTGGGGGCCTCCTGAGTCCATGGCCTCCAGCCCGGGGTGTCGTGTAGCTGGCTTGTGCCACATTGCCAAAGGCCCAGGCTCTTGTTGTAGCCGCCCGGCCTTGCCCTGGTCTTCCAGTGGCCTCCCAAAGCCATGGCCTCCAGTCCAGGGTCTCGCGTAGCTGACCAAGCCACCACAATGGCTTATGCTGTGCTGCCGAAGGTCCCTGGAGCTGCTTGCCGCAGCCTGTCTTTGCCCCAAGCTTCCAAGCCACCACGATCGCTTCCAAGCTGTCACAATCGCCCCCGCCAAGGGCTTCTAAAAGCCCTTGGAGGTCCTTGCTGGCTGGCTAGCTCCAGCCTACCCAGCCTTGTTAAAAGAACCCACTTCCCTCCCACTTCCAGCCTCCAGCAAGCACCTACCTCCTTCAGACGTCTTCTCCCAATTCCCAAACTGCTGCTGTAAATTTGTTTCCCGCCTTGCTTGTGCTGCATCCCAGCTCATCGGTGAGCAACTGATTCTGCCTGCCTGCTTTCTTCAGTTGGGTAAGTAAGTGGCTTTTTTTTTCTTATTTAAATCAGGGCAGGGGTCTTCAAACTTGGTAATTTTTAAGACTTGTGGACTTCAACTCCCAGAATTCCTGAGCTAACATGACTGGAGGTGGCATTCTGGGAGTTGAAGTCCACAAGTCTTAAAGCTGTCAAGTTTGAAGTCTCCTGATTTAAAAAAAAACAGTAAGTGTGTTAATTTTTTTCCTAAAAAAAATAGTAATATAAAATTTGGGAAATTTTAGCTGCTTTTCTATTTTTAGGAAGCAGCTGTTTTGTGAGGTTGTCATTGTGTGTGTATGGAAGTTCTTTTAAATTGTGTGAAATGTTATGTGCCTATAAATTGAAGCTATTTAGATTTTTCCAGCTGTATCTGCTTTGTGAGTGTGTTTATATCTGTGTGTAGTTTTCAGTTGTGTAGGGAGTGTGTTTTCAGTTGTGTAGTTTTGTGGGTCTGCCGCCAATCCAGAAAAGTCATACTGTAACAAGACTGGATTGTCAGCAGACCCACAAAACTACACAACTAAAAACTACACACATACACTCACAAAGCAGATACAGCTGGAAAAATCTAAAAACATAGCTTTAATTTATAGGCACATAACAACATGTCCTAGCACAGAGATGGGATCCGACCGGTATAACTACCAGTTCTGTCGCTCTGCATCACGCGTGCATGCGCGAGTCGCGCAAGTGCAATTTACGACCTGCTGAGCTGCCTGGACAGCTGAACAGCGTTGTGTGTAAGTGTGCAGCTGTTGGAAAATCCCTTTTTTCCTGATTTTTCAACCGCAGCTGTGTTGGCAAAGCAGCTGCGGTTGAAAAAGCAGGAAATAAAGGTCAGGTAAGAGCCCAGGCGGGCAGGTGAGCCAAAACAGCAGCAGACATAGAACCGGTTCCATGTATGCTCTCTGTTTGCTGCTTTTCAGAGCAACCGGTTCTACAGAAGTGGACAGAACCAATAGAATCCCACCCCTGTTCTAGCATTTTTTGATGTTGATGCTTGCAGCATGCAGGCCAGGGGACATTTTATGTGAAGTCCAGCTGCTTGTCAGCGACTTTACTTTCTGAGAAAATTAGTAACTTTGGGGGTATAACACTTCCACCATTATTAAAGCTGGTTTTAACATTTTGAGATTTCTGGAGCTGAGCCTGCTTGATGGGTTTCAAATGTCCATGATTGCCCTGCTTTTGTTCTTGCCTGGGTCTTTTGTCTTTCCTATCATGGTGGTTAATTCTGCCAGGAATCAGGAAAAGGGGACCTCCAGTGAGTTACCTTAATAATGGCTGTACTTTAGTGTTGCTTTTTTGTTGTCATTAGTAAAGGGAGTATGACTTCGAATGTGTTCTACATACAAAGAATACAAGCGAGTTTCCAAACTATTCTTTAAAGATAAAAACAAGGATAACAAATTCTTATCCAAAGAGAGAGCACAATAAGAAAAGGGAAGAGATTGCATAGCTAAACACACATATTGAGTATCAACGATCAAGTTAATAGGTTGGTCATTGAACAATCGTAAAGCCAAAATCACAGCAGCCAGCTCAGCACATTGAGCTGAAGTCCGTGTGGCAGTAAATTTAGAATACCATTGTTGTTGAATCTGCCAGACAACCACACCCCTTGTAGGTGATCCATCAGTAAAGACTGTAAGAGCTTTAGAAATAGGATTTTGCACAAAAATGGAAGAAAAGGCTGGATTTAAAGTAGTAGTAACCACTATTCTAGGATCCTTGGATAAAGAATACATCAAGTTTCCCACATATTGAGAAAAGGCTATCTGATATGATTCTGAAATCATAATCAAATGCTCATGTTCAACTTTTGTACGAGTGAAAGCTATGCTAATGAGATCCTCTCCTGTAAGATGTAAGGCTTGTTTACGACCTTAATCAAATCAAATCCTCTAATGCTGATTGATAAGGATAAATGTTTCTAGGTGGAGTAGCTGACAAATTAATCCATTCATGAATGTGGACCGCTTGCGGGGACGCATTAGAATAAAGACATCCTGTGGGTAAGGGTGTAGTGGGAAGAAAAGCTAAGCAAAGTCCTATTGTTAAGGATGTTATCCTGTCCACATATCAATGCTTTAACTTATTCAATATTACTTGAAGGCATGTTCTTTGAGGATCAGTTAATACAACTAGATCTCCTGGTGATTGTGCTCCCTTCAAAGACTGAAATAAGGGCAACATATCATCAGTTTTAATGTAGAAGAATGGGCATGCCCAATTAATAATGCCAAGTAATTTTTGCCATTGTACTAATGTATATGATTTCTGTACTTGTAATTCAGAAAGAATTGGAATGGAGGAATTGTGCAACATTCTATGTTTCCCATTTTTCTTTTTTATAACAAAAACAGGAGTATTCCAAGGACTAGTAGAAGGTTCTATATGACCAGCAGCCAATTGTTCTTGAACCAATTGTTGTAAAGCAGTGAGTTTTTCCCTTGATAATGGCCATTGTTCCACCCAAACCGGTGTAGAACAGAGCCATTTAAAAGGAAGAGTCATCATCAAAAATCAAATGGGCATTAAGAAGAGAAAGGATATCACGCCCCCAAATATTGGTATGAATATCTAGAATGTATGGTTGTAGGAAAAAGGACTTACCAGCAGATGTTGTAACATTAATTTCTTGAACACTCTGCCAAGCAGCTGTAGAACCTCCTATTCCCCACAATGAAGAAACTGTTGTTTTTGGCCACTGTACTGGCCACTGTAAAGAGGAGATGACAGTAACATCGGCTCCAGTATCCAATAACCCTTGAAATGGTTGTTTATTAAGGAAGAGCATTAACAAAGGATGAGAGGAGTTCAGCTGATGAAGTAAGCCTACAGATAAAGAAGTTGATCCAAATCTTGCATCCCCACGATTACCTATACCAGGAGATGGAATTTCATATGGAAGAAGAAGCAATTGAGCAACAGAAGAATTACAAGGAAGAACTTGAGGAAGATTCACCCAAATCTGAATCATGAGGATACCAGTGTAATCTGAATCTATTACCCCAGGCACAACAAAATAGCCCTTTTTTTGTGCAGAAGAATGAGGCAAAATTAAGCCAACTAATCCCAAAGGAAGAGGACCTTTAAATTGAGATGGAACTATTTTAACTTCCATGGGAAATTTAAACTCAATTTCCTCTTGAGTGATTAAATCGATCCCAGCGCTACCGGCTGTGGCTGGGGAGGAATGAGAGAGACTGCTGGAGGAGTCAGAGTGATGGGAAAGGCATGCTTTGGATTCTGGGTGGGTGCCACACCCATTGGCAAGTTTCCTGACTGAAACCGACATTGATTGGCCCAATGAAATCCCTTTTTGCAAATAGGGCACTTCTTAGAAGGATGATTCTGAGGCATAGAAGGTGTAGAACGACAGTCCTTCTGAAAGTGGCCAGGCTTCTTACACTTAAAACAGTTACCGATTGGTCGCTGTCCTTTCTGAATAGCAGCTGCTAACATATGCATTTTATAAGTTTGTGATCCAATATCCTGGCAGACTCGCAGCATACCTGCCAGAGTGTAATGAGCAGTACCCTTTAACGGCTGTAAAGCTCTTTTACAATCTGCATTAGCATTTTCAATAGTTAATTGGCGGAGAAGTTCACCAGCAGCTTCCTGATGATCAAACTGCTGTCTAATTTCTTTGGACAGACGCTCAACAAAGTCAGCATAAGGCTCATTGGCATTCTGTCGAATGTTTGAAAAATTTGCTCTAGGTTCTCCAGCTTGGGGTACCTTAAGAAAAGCACAAAAGACACATTCAGAAACAATAGTTAACGTAGCTGGAGGAAGAACAACTTGAGTAGGAATTGTACCAAATGGTCCAGAACCAAATAGCTGCTCAACTGTATATGCTCCTCCCCCTCCTAAAGCAGCAGCTTGAGCATGTCTCATATATTCACTCTCCCAAACCACATATTGCATGGATGTTAAAATCATGCGAAATATTTGCTTCCAATCTTCAGGGATCATTGTATAACCATTTTTTATCCCTTCTACAAGTCCTCTTGTAAAATGTCCACTAATCCCATAGTCTGTAACTGCCTTTTTTAACTCTCTTAAGATCTGATAAGGCAGAACCTCCCATTCTGCTACTTGCAGTCCAAGCTGTGGCCCCCGACCAGGACGATATTGTACTGGACAAACAGACAGTAATTCTGCAAGTTCTGTTCCTGAGACAGAGGCATCCCTTTTACAAGTCTCTACCATTTTCTGAAAATAAGACTGAACAATAGAGCCAGGAGGCTTTTGCCCTGTATCTGCAGGAGTTGAGGGAATTGAAGACATATATTCAGGTGAAGAAGGGGGACAAATGACAGCATTAGTATAACGTGAAGGTGGAGGTGTTAAAAGAGAAAGTTCATTGTGACCAAATTTTTCAATTGCATGCCTGCATAAATGCCATACATGCAAAACTTCTATTTTTGCTCAAGGTTCAGTATGCAATGTTTTCCCAATATGTTCCCAATCAGTTAATTTTAAAGACCCCTTTTCTGGGTACCATAGGCACTGAGCTTCAATCTCCTGGACCAGCCTTAAGAGATTTCTCTGTGGTACCTCGGTATTATTTTTCTTCAACAAATAGCCTAATTCATCTATATGCTTCCTTTGTTCCTCAGAAAGCGAAGACCCCATAGTTACAGAAACCGAAAGGTTGAAGAAACCACAAAGAGTTGAAGGTGCACCAAATCCTTGCCGGACAAAGTAAGAGGGTCCCTGTTCATGCGTCACTTGTTGTAATGACGAGGCAGTCAAGTTGTTTGATCATGAACAACTGAATCATGATGATCTTTATTGGAGTCTAGTCTTGCATTTATACACATTTTTAGCTATCCTCCATCACTGGTTAACTTTGGTTACTGCTTAACTTTCGTTACTGTTTAGCACAGTAATCCATACAATTAATTATCTCTAGTTAAAGTCTAACATTTGTTTACTTCCTCTCTCTAATCCTCTTTTAGATTAGTGACTTTGTTTACCTGAGTTGTATATGCTTGGAAACATTCTTTATCTGAGGTTTGCCATCCGAGATTGGAACATTCCTGCAATTACAACTCTACACGTTAGTTTTTATTTGTGTTTACCATGAGTACTAACAGGAAAACTAGAAGCTAATAAGAACCAAATATCTACCAGATTTTTTTTTCTAATTAACTTTATGAAAGTCACTATTATTTGGATATTTTGGGGAGGAGGTTGAAAAGCAGCAACTGTTTTTTTCTGTTCATTCATTCCAATTCTCAGAGGCCACCTGGACAAGTCCCTGTGGTTTTCTTGGCAAAGTTTTTCAGAAGTAGTTTACCATTACCTCTTCCTAGGGCTGAGAAAAAGTGACTGGCCCGAAGTCACACAGAGTGGGTATAGTATTTCATATTTTATTACATACAAGTGGTAGCTCTTAGACCCTTGAACTCGATGTTTCATGATTAAAATTTTGCTCGGGGCAACAAACATGCTTGGCAAAACTTTGCTTGTCCTTCTATAGTCTTCAGTCTACTGCATCCAGCAGTCACCCTAGGTAAGACAATGCAAAAGACCTTGTCAGAGATTGCAAGGAGCATATTGCCATTCCAAATAGTACAAGTATTACTATTGTCCTTTGTTAGAAGTCTGACCATCGCTTCCATTTTCCATTTGCTTAGGACAGATTCTGTTCACTGATAGTCATTCATTTGTCCCTGTCAGTTCTTACACCATGCTGTTCCCTCCAAGCCATTCATCTGTGATTGGGTTTAAACCTTTATTGTTATTTAAAATTTTGTTGCTTTATTATTGCCTTATTAACTTCTCCAGTTATGACTATGTCCAGATTTGCAGGTGGCTTTATTATAGTTTGTGGCTGGGCTGGGCTAGGCTGGCTCAGTACTTTTTTGAAGTACTCTGTCCAACATACATCTTATTCATGGTTATATGGCCACATCTTCCCATTCTTATTATTTACAGGAGCACTTCTATTACTACTCATTCCTGTTAGTTTTCAAACAATATGATATTGTGTCTTGGTATCAGTTTTGCTTTCGGCTTCTTGAGTTTTGCCCCATTTATATTCCAAACATTCTTTCTTGAAAATACAGCAACTCTATGGTCCAATGATTGCTATTTTTCCTCAGATTCTGCTTTCTTATTTATTGACTTTGCTTGATCCCTTGGTTGCTTCGCAATTGTTCGTTCATTAATTAGCTGCAAAATTCTGTCTTGTATCCAGCATTCTTTCTGTGTTCCTCTTCTTCATCCAGT